CTTTATTTTTACCCATTTTATCTCTGTTTTTTATTTCTATTTATTTATCACTAAATATAATACAAGGAAGAAATTATTTTTTTCTTTAACCAACAAATTAAGCAAAACATCAAATAAATGCTTACTTTCGAAACAATCCTGTATGAGTTTCAGTACATTTTGACCTGGCTGTACATCAATCTTATTTCTAGGAAGAAGAGGGGAAAAAAGTATTTTCAATCAAAAATACTAAATGTTCCTATCCCAGCAATATAAAAGTAGTAAAGTTCTTATTACTTAGTATTTTAATTATTATTTCCACTAGTCCCAACTTTAATATATTTTACCTACCATTTCCATGCACAGATATCTGCAAAGAAACTTGTCTAAATAAGGATTCCAGGAGAAAAAGCCCCACTGTCACCGAATATGATGAGAATGAAGAAATCTCTCTACATAAAAGAAAACATACAACTACTGCAACAGGCCTCAAGTAAAAGCTTTGGGATGAATAGAGATTCTCGCTTGAAATAAATAATTTTTTTTAAAAATCAGTCCTCAAGTAATGTTGCCTGCACAGTGATCCATCCTCAGCAGACCCAGAAATGAAATGTGTAGGCTGCACATCTATCCCTTCATACAAGGAGTCACCCTCTGCTTCTCTTTCTACCACTTATCCACAGTTATTCTGTGCTTCTACAAAAGTTTCAGCAGCCAGAATCGGCTTGAGGTAACAACTCCATAAGCAAGCAAACAGCTCAGCTGCTTGGATTACTATTTCAAACCTCCCCAGGACAAATGAAAACGGCAGAAGTGATCCACTAGCCAGACCATGTTGATCAAAACCAAAATAACAAGAGAAAAGCCATGGAGTACTTCTCCCATAATGATTATTATATGCCTTTCAAGACAGGTAATTTGGCAGATTTGGTAAGCTCCTGAAATGCATGTCTAAAAATGGATTCCACTAACAAAAAGCTCACTGACTTCTGACATGCCTTTAAAGAAAGCTACAGCACTGCAAATACTCAAACTCATCTCTAACGTTTACCAGCAAGGGCCAAATAAGCTAGAACTCTGCATGGGCTTCATTTCTCTACCTCTTGAAGGGCAAAATGTTTGCACAGCCTACTGCTTCTGTGCTCAGGCAGCCTAATTAGGGATAGTTCAGGTATAGCTACACCACAGTCTGCTGCCTCAGCAAGGAATACAAAGGAAATCCTTGGTGCTTTGTCCCCCAGCACAATTTGCTCCTCCCACCACTAAGAAATACAAGAAGTTTGGGAAACATCATATGGTTAGTTTAATAAGATACACCCAATAGTTTTGACATTAAGCTCTCAAGACAAAAATCAACATAAGTATTCTTGGATACGATTGTTTGGAAAAAAGTTTTAAATGTTAAATTACCCTCCTCCGTGGCAGAATCTTGCTCTGTAGTCTTTTTTAAAATGATTCTGTGAAGAAATAAGAATCAATTTTTACTAAGCATTGTGACACTCGACAGACAAACAAATAAGCGACCAACCTCCTACTTCTCATGTAAGCAAGTCTTGAGGATTCTTGATCCATCTGAAACTAGTGGGAGTTACTACAGCCCTGTTTTTCTTAGAATGCCGCAGTAGCTACAAGCCCTGTAACAACAGCCAGAAATTCAGCTTTCCTCAAGAACCATCAAGCATCTGTTGCATTTAAAGTCAGAGACACGTACAGGAGACTTACATGACAGAAATCACAGAAAATCTACGGATTTGGTTAACATTTCTGTGATGACTTTCAGAAATAATCTTTCAAGTAAGGAAAGGGAATGAACTACCACAAAGCAAGCTCGGACATAACCTTACAACACATCCGCTGCTCTGTGAATTCTTACCCTGTGTTTATCACAGGCAAGACCACGTTGACAGGCAGTGAGAGCACATCAGCTGTTCCACGGTAAAACTAAGGTCTCGATTAACTCCTAGCACTTCCTCATATACTTGGGATTCAAGTATAATCAAAGTCATTCGAATAGCAGACATGACTCCAATCATCTATTACCACAACTAGAGCAGTAACAAGTCAAGCGACAGTATTTTATCAGCGTTACTTTCTATGCCAACAAATGAAATAAAGCCTACTGAGCTGGGAACAGGCAAAGACTGTAGAGAATAAAACCAGGAAGGATGGGCAAGTCAAGAAAAATTAAAGAGCTAAGCAAAGTACAGTTTTTCACTGATGTGACAAGAAAATGTCTCAAAAAAATTCTACATGTTTAGCTGAAAAACAATATACGTGCAGTGTGGTGATTATCTAGTCCTAATACAACAGAATTCAGCACATTTCTCCTAAGCTTGCCATCCTGACATTACTTTGCACTTCTTTGTGATTCCTCTTTGGATACTACTTCTGGTAATAAAAATAACCAAAACCACGTAAGGATTTATTCCACTGCAAATTTTCAACATCAGCTTAAAATGGCAGGAAAAACCTCTAGCTCACACGGGAAAACGACTGACCAAAAGTCATCACTTCAGAAACAGCACAGAACCATACTCTACAGCAAATCAGTGCCTCGGGCTTAAACTTCTTCCCCTCGCAGCAGAGTGCAGTATAATCAACTAGCAAGCAACCCTTCATATAAGAAAATGAAAAATTTCTGTAATGGATCTAAAAGAGCTTTTAACAGTTATTTATTGTTATGTTCATACCCCACTACACATAAAGAGCTTTTAAAACTTAAGACCCCCGTGTACCTCTGACAGAGGACGGCAGGAGAAAGATACGTACGTCTCTAGCATGTCTAGGCAAGAGTCACTGGTTCTTTACACGCTAACCCGTGAAAGGAAGATCTCCAGACACGAGCGACAGGCGCAGCTGCAGGCAGCCTACGGGAAACGGGGGCTCCCAACAGACAAGCCCTCAGAGCAGAAGTGTTTGTGCCAGCAACCGAGGCCAAGAGGGAGAGCAGAGCACTAACACCGGCCCCGCTTTTCTCAGGGGGAAGCGGGGGACTCCCCCAGCCTCACCGCGCCGTCAGGGGCGGCAGGACGGCCCCGCGGGCCCGCCCGCCCCTCAGGAGCGCACTAAGGAGAGGGCCGCACTCCGAGTGTCACAGAAGGGAACGGTCGCTGCCCCCAACACATCCCCATTCCTCCCGCCCCTTCCCCCGCGCTCTCTCACCAAGGCCTCCGCCATCCCGGGCCGCCGCGACGAGGACGAAGACACCCCGGCCGTGGGACCCGGCCAGGCT